ACCTAAAGTGATCGTGAGGGCTTTATTTCAACTCTACATGGAAATCAATAGAACCATTTTTCCTCTTGTATTTCTTTTGGAAACCAGCATTTCTTTATTTGACTAGACGTAGACAAAATTACAGACTATACACATGCCCTCCATAAAGTGAGATTGATTGTCCCATGGCATGGGTGATGTATCTCAAAACAAGTTTTCAGGTGGTGGGGGTCCTCTCCGCACACCTTACAGCAGTCCTGGCCAAATAAGAACGGTGGTGCTCGCAATGACTATCACGGATGGCACCGTGCAAAATACAAAGTAAAAAAACAGGTCACCAGCACTCGTTTAGAATAAATATGTCCTTTTTTAATGGACAATTGTGTCACTACAATCAACAGAGCCGGTCACAATTGTGGTCACAATTTTACTGCCTTGAAGAAGGGACCCTGTGCGGCCCCGAAACGTCGGCTCTGTTGATTGTAGTGACACAATTGTCCATTAAAAAAGGACATATTTATTCTAAACGAGTGCTGGTGACCTGTTTCTTTTTCTTCTTTTCTCTCTTAAAACACACATTGATGATGGATATGTTTGCATAATATAGATCACTGGTGCACAACTGTTGGTCCGGATCACTGGATCCAAAACACTGGATTCCCGAATCTATAGCTTGGATCACCAGATTTGATTTCCCTACTAGAGCAAATAATTTTTTTTTCAGTTGTGCTCAGTTTATAAACGTGTAGATTAACAAACAATGGTTTTGTTTGCTGTACCTCCATTGGCGCAATTTCTATCTCTGTGACAGCTGTGAGGGAAAATCTTCCAAAAGCAAAGCTCGGAAGCAATTAAACTGGCAAATTCTGACGTTTCCCCAACATATCCATTTTTTTTCTTAAAATTGAAGTTCCAGTATAATTCATTATAATGGGCACTGTAGTGCAAAAACAATGAAATCTGCATAACCTAGTAAAATAAATGTACCTGGAAACGGTCTATGAACATGTTGTGCATAAATGAATGGTAGAAAGTAAGATGCTATGAATATAGCTAGTATTTTATGAATATGCTATACATAGCAGTAGTCGGCTTGCCCTTTTGTAAATCTAGTCTGTTTATGCTTATTATGATGTGACATCTGTTGTATTTATTTCTTTGTTTACAAAGATGATCAGACTTATGTAACAGTACCGAAATATTTGCTTTACAACCTATTGCAGTACCAACAGCTGATGGCACTCCCTAAATAAATATTTTTGTTTTTGTTGTTGTTGGAGGTTTGCCATAACTGTGCCTTTTTAGTACTGGTGAGTTAATGCAGTGCAGCTATAACAGTAGATTACGAAATGCTTGTAGAATAATGAATAAAAAAACAAAATGCACAGCAACATTCGTTCTGTTGAGAATTGTACTTAAATAAAATTGGAAAAAATGCAACCCCTTTTTTTTTGTTTTGTTTTTATGAACGTGTAG